GATTACAGTCACCTTAAAAAATTTTGTTGTGCTGCATTCTCCCATCAAAGTATTGGTAAACTTGAACCAAGATCCATAAAATGTGTTTTTATGGGATATCCTGAGGGTGTGAAAGGATATAGACTGTGGGATAAGAGTGTTAAGGGGTTTAGGATGATCACAAGTAGAAATGTGACATTTAATGAGTTGGATATGCCCTGCATGTCTGAAAAACATTAAAAACCTGAACCTGTGACTGATAAAATGAGGAAACCAGGCTGTAGGTGGAGCTTAAAACACCTGCAGAACACACTGATGAAATTGAGACTGAAAACGAAGAAGTTTCAGAAGCTGAAACGGAAGAGAATATAATTGTTCAAGAAGAAGGTGGAGAAGAAAATCCCTTAGAAGACTATCAGTTAGCTAGGGATAGAGATAGGAGAGAAATTAGGGAACCTCTTAGATTGAGAGACTATCTATCTCTTGCCTTATTATCATTTCAAGATCTTGCTTTTAAAGAACCTAAATCATATGAGGAGGCTGTGAACTGTGAGCTGTCAAAAGAGTGGCAGCTAGCTATGGAAGAAGAAATGAACTCTTTGTTAAAGAATAACACCTGGACTTTGGTCCTCAAGCCAAAAGACAAATCTATAGTTGACTGTAAGTGGATTTATAACATAAAAGAGGGTAATAATTTGAAACAGCCCATTAGGTTTAAAGCCAGATTAGTGGCAGAGGGTTTTACACAAAAACCTGGGATTGATTATAAAGAGATCTTCTCACCTGTGGTTAAGTATACAACCATTAGGGTCATGCTTGCTTTAGTAGCTCATTTTGACTTAGAACTTGAACAAATGGATGTAAAAACTGCTTTTTGCATGGAGATTTGGATGAAATCATTTATATGTGTCAGCCACCAGGTTTCATTGAGTCTAAGAAATATGATTTTGTGTGCTTATTAAAAAGATCTTTGTATGGGCTTAAACAATCACCAAGACAATGGTATAAACGTTTTGATAACTTTGTGTCATCAGTTGGTTTCCTTAGGAGTTCATTTGATCATTGTTTATACTTTAAAAAGGATAAAAATGATTTTGTAACTGTTTACCTGCTTCTGTATGTGAATGATATGTTGTTAATAGGTCAACATATGAGTGATATTAATGACATTAAAAGATCTTTATCTTCTGAATTTGAAATGAAAGACTTGGGCCATGCTAGAAGAATCCTAGGTATGGATATTAAGAGAAATATGTCTCAACAGACTCTCTTTCTCACACAACTTCCTATGTGGAAAATGTGTTATCTAAATTTGATATGCATGAATCTAAGTCTGTTACTTTACCACTTGCAAATCATTTTCAATTAAGTAAAGATCAGTCTCCTGTTGATGAATCTGATGTGAAATATATGTAAAAAGTCCCTTATTCTAATGCTGTGGGGTCTGTTATGTATACTATGGTATGTACCAAACCTGATGTTGCTCATGCAATCAGTACCTTAAGTAGATTCATGGCCAATCCTGGCCCTGAACATTGGACTGCCTTGAAATGGTTACTTAGATATTTAAAAGGATCCTCTAACTTGGGTTTATGTTTTAATCCATGTAACGAAGGTATTGTGTTAAAGGGCTTTGTTGATTCTGATTATACGGGGGACAGGGACAATAGAAAATCAACCACATCTTACATGTTTACTTTGTGTGACACTTGTGTGAGTTGGAAATCACAATTACATTATCTACTACTGAAGCGGAATATGTGGCTGCCACTGAAGCCATAAAAGAGGCATTATGGATTAAAGGATTATTATGTGAATTAAATGTTTTTTCTCATCCTGTAGTAGTATACTCAGATAGTCAGAGTGCTATTCATTTATGCAAAAATCCTGTCTTTCATGAAAGAACGAAGCATATAGATGTTAGGATGCATTTTATTCGTGACATTATCCTTAAGAATTCAGTAGTACTTGAAAAAATACCTACTGAATTTAATCCAGCAGATATGGGAACCAAGGTTCTTCCCCTTAATAAGTTTAAGTCTTGCTTAAAAATGTTGAAAATTGATGCTGGGTAATTCTTTGTGATTTGCAGGTACCTGTGTATCCATCTTGATGCTGTAGGCTATGAAATCAAATAAAACAAGTGAATGGAATTGCTGGTTTTATTATTTTTTGATTTATGGTTCAGTTTGAGTCATTGGCATCAAGGTGGAGAGTGTTTGAATTGTGATGCCAATTTTGGAATTACAACTCAAACTCTTGGGCTATGATGAAACTGGGTTGAGGCCCAACTGATTGGATACTACACACATTGCCCGATAACACAATGAGGAGGTCCAAAACCCGAGCCCATATACATGGCCACATGTGATACTCCGGACCGTTGGATCCCCCTATCCTAGATCAACCGTGATGAGCTCCCTTATATATATATATATATATATATATATATANTCTCTCTAACACCTTTAGAACTCTCTAGACTAGGGTTTGCTAAATCGTTTCTTCTTCCTTCGATCTCTCTTCGTCTACTTTGTAGTTTTTCCTTGAATCTTTTGTGATCTTGGGTGGTATTCTTTGTGATCTAAAGAGTCTATGTGATTCTAGAGAGAAAGGAAAGGAGTCGATACTGGTTTTGGGGGTTTTCAGTCGGTCCGTTGAAGTAGCCAAGTTTAGTCTGTGTTGGCTTGGGATTTTTGGGGTTTCCTGTTGTACAGAAAGGTACAATGTCTTTCTGAGCCCAAAATCGATGATACCTTGAGTCTTAGTAGTAGAATGGAGTCTGTGATGTTTTGACAGAAACAATTGTTGAACTATACTTTATGTATTTTTCTGATTCTGGTGTAATACTAGAGAATCACCAAAGATGAGAATGGCAGGAAATCTTTGTTGGGTTGTGTCATTTTGGCTGTAGACCAGGGATATAATGCTAAAAATATGGACTAGAGTGCAGAAATTGAGGTGGGTTGGCAGTGCCCCATTTTTTTATTTTTTTTATTTATTTTTTTTTTTTTTGAGAAAACTTTGTTTTAGTGGTGTGGGTGTGTTTCAGGATTTGAAAAGTAAAATATGCATATTATATTTTAGGAAATGGAACTATATACTGAACAACTTGCAAGAAGTGTTATTAGCTCAAAACACGTCTAGCTGTTTATTAAGTGGTATAAGGTGATTGTATATCTTAAAATAAAGAATAATACTATTTAGTATTGGAGGTGCTAGAGCACAAGTATCCGTGACTCTACTTGATAGGTTCAATTAAATTATTCATCTGATTAATGCATGACATCATTGGTGCTTAATTACATTACTCTAAAATAAAATTTATGGATCCCATTTAAAATGTAAAATTATTTAATTGACACCTAAACTAATGTTAGACGATAGTTGGATAATTACATAACGTTTTTCGAGTGGAAATCTCTAAAATTAGTGGTTAAATTGACTTATATATAAATTACTTTCCTCTTAATTAATGCCCTTCTAAATAGAATTTTTCAAGGCCAATTCATTCCAACTGTACACTTGATTACTACAATCTTAACTAAATTTAAGATAGGTTCGAACCATTTACTTATGCTGCTTGAATCAAATTCATGAACGATTTGAATATTCAAATTGTAAATTAAGGATTTTCACATAGCATATTCGTTAGAAATGTCCAAGGTGATGATGTTGATGCTAGTGACGACATAGATAACAAAAAATCTCATAGAATAAAATAATTACCATAATAGAGTTAAAGTACATGTCTACGTATTTAGACAATTTTTCTTTTAAAGTATTTTCAAATAAAGCCATTTAGAACAGTTTGATAAAAACGCAAACATAAAGTTAAAGGCAATTCAAACAATCAGGGGCACAAGCAAATTCTTTAAGGGGCATTTTCAGAAATAATAATAAAAAGATGAAATGAAGCAAATAATCAAAAACAAAATTCCGATTCCATCGATTATCATTAATATGTATTTGTGCTATTGAAGATGATTCCAAGGGAAATTAATATTTATACCGGTCAGCGATTACCAACAATAGTGACATCAATAATGTCGTCAACAATCATCCATGATGCTTTGATTAGCGATCTTCGTAAAATATAAAATATAAACTATTAACAATAAAACTATCTTCGGTCAGCTATTGTATATGTTGGTATTTCCGTTATGTTGTACTCTTGAAATTACTGGTAACTAGAAAATTGACTGCACAGAATGTTTTGACAAGATTTTCTTGGTGAGTAATGCCTTCTCTAAGATATTTATACAACCAGTTACCAAATTATAAATCACATGTGGCTTATGTGTTTTGCAAGATGAGTAGTGAAATTTTTTTAATTCTCAGTATGTTAGTTTTTGATGTTTCGTTTATGTAGTCGAAGGCCATATGTTCAATTTTTCCTTGGTAGTGTTTGTGTGTTCCATTATTTTACGAGTAAAACTTAGTTTAGTAACTTTTTATGTTTGTTTTAGCTAACATGTAAAAAGAGTTTTTGTTCGAATAGTAAATAATGATTGTTATTAAAATATGTAACTTCGAATTAAAATTTGACAAATAAAATTATCAAACATCTTCCAAAATTAGCTCTAGGAATTTTTAAAAAAATCTTTACCAAACATGGTTATAAATCTTCTCCAAGTTTAAAATTAATGATGACATGTTTGCTAGCAATTAAAGAGACCGCGAAATCACCTTTATAATTAAATGCTTCGAGGGTCAATCTCAACAAGGTCAATAACATGTAACATATTATTGTTACACCTAAGCAGGAAGGGGTTGGACAATGGTTCGTCAAGTATATAGTGTTCGTTAATTAATGTTACATATGCGCCACATAAAAGGGAAAATAACGTAATCAAAATTGATAGAATTAAAACAAGTGATCATCAAGAAAATTGATAAATTATTCCAATAAGTGAAACCTCTCTTTTTAATTACACATGACAAATCAAAAAAATTGTGGAAAATCTAGAAAAACCAAAACTCAGACTGCGACAATTCATCGACACCAGGAAGCCATCATTCTAAAACTGAGAAAGAGAATTGGTATGCAGGTACTGACTTATGTAACCTGCGGCTGCTTGAGTTGGATGAAGTGAATCCCAAAACAAATACTGGGCAGGATTTGAACATACACTACTGACAGGACTACAAAGTGGACCAGTTTCATAAGTTCCAGTCCCACAGCATCCTCTGGTAGTCACCAAAAAACCTGCAAATACAAAAATATTGGTTACACATGTTACAAATTATTTACTAGAAGTTGATATAGAACTCGTTAGCCTTTGTCATGAATTCTTTTATGAATGTCGCTACCCAATATTTAGCTGCAAAAATGAAAACAAAAAGTTTGCCGAATTTATAATGTGAGGTAGCTTAGCTTACCATACTTCGTTGGGTTAATGATCATGTCCACAAATGGGGTAAATAGATCTGCATAAACAAGTTTACTGCCTGGAAGTGTTGCCTGAATTTTGGGTAATAACCCTACAAGTTTCTGATTATAAGTCTGAGAATCTGAATATCTAGGGTCTAAACATGTCGAGAACTGAGATTGGCCCTGTCCACAGCCAAGGGGAGGAAGACCGGCCACCATTATATGGCTACATCCTATACCATATAGTGTCTGCAGACACAATTTAGAACAAAAACATGTCAAACTTATATGGCAGATCGCAAATTTTTAACATATTCAACGCGTTATTGATTTACCTTGACAAAATCTTGAACCCTTTGCAGTAGTAAATCTTGATATCTACTGAGCTCAAACTGGTTCTGTCACACCCCTCATTTTTTTAGTCAAAGTCAAGGAAAAATATTTGGTCAAAGTCAAAATCATTAAGGACTTAAGTTGAACAAATAATTTTTATGGGACTTAAATTGAAATTTCAAGTAATTGAAGGTTAGGAATGATATAATAAAGGAATCCAAGGATTTAGTTTCTATTATGGGAAAAGAAATGACTAAATGTAATATTGTCTGAAGATGGTGGACTTGCCTTGCAATTATTTAATATTTACCCATTAAATAGCATTTATTTTATGTATTTTCTCATATATTTTGGGGAAAGAGATAGAAGAATCGAGAGAGACCGAGAGAAGAAGAAGAAGAGGAGGAGGAGGAGGAGGAGGAAAAGAATTTTCAAGCTAGGGTTCTCAAATTCTTCAATTTCTCATTTGGTTTAGAATGGTAAGTATAAATTTATTGAATTAAATTTTTAAGGGTTATAGAAAACTTGCTCTAATTCAAAGTCTAGCAAGAATTATGTGTTATTGATATGTATTTGATGATTAAAATAAGTATATGTCAAAGAAATATGTATTTGGAAATTAGTGTTGAAGAAAGTGAAAACTTTGGAAATGGGTTTGTGATATAAAGGCACATTATTTGAAATTCTTGGAATTATGTGATGCTAAAACTTAAATTAAGGATTTGAGGTTGAAATTCTCCATTTTTTTTATAGCAATTTTCGAGTTTTTGCAAAACAGGTGCTAGTTTTGAAAGTCTGCCAAGAAGGTGTTATTTCTGTCAATGTTTTTGGTGACAGATTTCAGTATTCATAAATTGGTGCCGGTTTTCAATATTCTGGAATTATAGTGCTAATTTTGTCAATCATCTAATTTTGGTGGATTTTTAGTATTGGAACCAAATTAAGTGTTAAATATTTGACATTTTGGTGTTAAAATAATTTATATAAAGAAGTATATGTTGTTAATGACTCTAAATGGGATTATGAGATTGAAAATAAAATATGTGAAGTTTTCATTGGTAAATTATTATTTCTAATGGTAGGAAAATACTCAAGGAATGCTTGTGAAGGGATATGATTTATTATAGCGAGAGCATGATATCATACTCGGAATTTGAAAGTGATGAGGCGACGAGAATATCGAAACCATGATCGATTATAACTTTGTGAGTGGATAAAACGTATTTTTCAGAAATAAGTCTTCTTGAAATTTTAAAGTTATTTATTTTATAAAGTTGACTTCATAGTATGACTTTCAGAATAAAATGGATTTTATTATCAATTTCTTTTAAAGTTAAATTCAGTTCAGTTAAATTATTTTAGTAGCATGTTATATTCTTATTACATGTTTCGGCATATTTAAATTTATTTTCTAAAAACCACCAGAAAGTACCTAGGTTATTTTACCCTCGTCTGCACTGGTGTGAATATGTTTCCATAGTGTATGACTTCATATGGTTATTTTACCCACTCTGCACTATTGTGAATGTGTTTCCATAGTGTATGACCAGATTATCAGAAGTCTTTGGGACCCACTCTCGTACACACATAGGCTTTGGGCCGTGTACTAGGGTGATTAGCCTTTGGGGCAGCTCTGCATTCATATGACCAGATTATCAGCTATTAGATTATCAGATTTGAATGGCTTGCCTTGTACATCGAGATTACTCTGTACATGTGTAAGGCTATTCATTGGGTACTCTTTTTGGTGTGATTTTTCAGTATTTATTCAGTTCTCAGATTTCAGATTATGGAATTCAGTTAATACAGTTTTCAGAATAAAGCTTTCAGCTTATAGTATTGACCAGTAGTAATATTTCATAAATTTTCATGAATATCAGATTATTCGTTAACTTTACATCTACTTATCTAGAATTAAGAACAAAGAATTGTATGATGCAATCATGTTTTGGTTTTAAAAGTGTTACCAGATTTCAGAATTTTTCAAAGATTTTATAAAGCTAGAATTTTCAGAAAATATGTAGAAATGGAAAAAGTATATTTATTCGCAAATTATCCACTCACTGAGCTATAAGCTCATATGTCTTTTCACCTTTTTCCTTATCAGATAGCAGCTTAATTGAGCAGCTTTGGAGCTTGTTGTTTCGCTATATTGAGTCACGCGTCATAGGTTGTATGGCCTACTTTTCCAGACTATGTAGTATATGTTTCTTTGAGTTATATGTAGTTTATGTCAAAAAAGGTTATCATGGGTTCACTGCATATTTGGCGTCTTTAGTATATTTGAGAAATGTTGGTTGCAAAGAAAGGAAATGTTGATTTGCTGACATTTTATTTGAATAGTTTGTATTTTCAGGGACTGGCGTATCCTACTTATATTATAGGTATTGATTTGAGGAAAATTAGTTGTTGTTCAGTGGTTTAGTTCATATTTCAAGGGGAACTCTGTCAAAATTTTGTTAAAAATATTTTTCAGTCAAGCAAGTCAAGTTGCCTTGGTGGTGGGTCCGACGTTTACCTGGTATCTACCATCGGCGCATGACACGTGTCGAATCCATTAAGGTGATTCGGGACGGGTCGTGTCAGGTTCCTTCTTGAAGGGTTGCCATAGTAATTAACAAACAAATCACTGCTTCCAGCTACAACAAGAACCATTGAATCACCAATAATTTCTTGAGCCTGAATTTCTCCAACAACACCTTTGAGTTTGTCTATGTAACTTTTAAGGTTGTTGGGCTGTTTCATTACAGGAATAGAATTGTATACAGCATTTGTAAGATCATCATATCCAGAGCCAGCCGATGCAAAACAAACCCCAGTAAGAATATCTTCATTCGTCAGCTTTGGATCAAGAAATGCAGGAACAGTCTCCTTTAACCCTAATGCAGATGCCAAAAAGTCTGAAATGACCTTGCCATCTGAAAACCTTCCTGTTGGAATATGGTTGAGAAAAGACTCCCCATATGGGTATGGTTTGCTTTGAGTGGGGTATTTATATAATTGTTATTACCAGTGTCTACTAATGAATCACCAAAGATGAGAATAGCAGAAAATCTTGGTTGGGCTGTATCATTTTTGCTCAAAACTAGGGATATAGTGGCAAGAACATTGACATGAAGAGTGAAGAAATTAAGGTGGGCTGGTGCCATTTTTTTGAGAAAACTTTTATTTAGTGGTATGGATTGGTGTCAAGATTTGAAAAATAATTGTATATATATATTGCAAGAAATGTTGGGTATATAGTAACTTGCATGAAGAGTGAAAATCACGAAGATTACTGGTTAAATTGATTTATATTTTAAGTTTCTTTCTTCTAAATTAATTCCCGTCCGAGTAGAATTTGAAGGAATCAAGGCCTAATTAAAATAAATATGTATTTTAATTAACTATAATGAGTTATGATTATGGAACTACTTCAATTAATGTAGACATCCAAATCTCCATGGTTGAATAAATTTCTTTTTTCTGCCGTCAAAAATTAGGAGAAAGCCATTTGTACAGAATAAATTCTCACAGAATGCTGTCAGAACCTCACATGTAGTGGCCCCCATGTTGTGATAAAAAAATTGTCCAAAAATTCATCCACCTCCTCCTCTGAATTGTTTATGCAGCTTCTCTGAAATTTTGTTCTATACACACGGTATCTCCCCAAAAATTAATATGGCGTTTCTTAGGTTTTGTCTTTTCTTATTTTATTTTTATGATCATTGTCATCATATCTTATACTTAATCGATAATAAAGGACGAGATGAAAATCAATTTTAATTCTTTTCTTTTTCTTCATCGTCGTCCTATTATATATTTTTTAACTTCTCTTTTTGGGACGAGATTTGGAACCCCCTAAATTATTACCACTACATTTTTATTCCTAAAATACTGATTTTATGGAGGCTGCAAAGGTGTGATGGTTGGTGGTGAGGGTTGGTGTCGGTGTCACTGTCAGCGAGGGGATGGATGGTGGCGACAAATATGGTAGTTATTGTTTAAGGTTTGTGATTGAATTTTTATTTAGGTTGCAATAGGAAAATAAAATCAGTATTTTAGGAATAAAAAAGTGGGACAATTTTTAAAACAAAGTTATGCTACATATACAAAATTTGCTGATAAAGTAACATCTAAACCTATCATTTCAAAAAAAGATTTTTAAATCATTTGAAATCAATATTCTGAATTTTGTCAACACTTATTTGTCAACCAAATTTGTAAACATAATTTGTACAAATAGCATAATACTTTTAGGAATGTAAGCAACACCCTAAACTTAACATTTCATGACGGAGAAGTCTGTCATAATTATCTTATTAAATCCCTTCAAATATAAATGAATTTCAAAAATTTTGAAATCTACACTAAAATTAAGCCTATCAAAATTTCGTGATTCAAATAGTTGTTAAAAAAAAAAAAATCAAATAATGACATTCAACATATAAAGTATGCAATGAAACTAATGGTTGCAACATAATACGATCATTTCAAACAGTATAGGAGATAAAATAAACTTAAATTAATTTTAAAAACAATATGCTGAAAATAAACTATAACTTTTTGAAATCGTGTAGTTGCATCAAAAATCAAACATAAATTAAACATTCAATTTATAAACTACAAAAGTCCTTTACATTGGTTTTACGTTTTATGATGAGAAAAATGAATGAGTAAATTTTGAGGAAGGGAACCATCGTCTAATCCTAAATTGCCAATGATGCTATTTTATTCCAAGCATTTCCATACATTTCATTGTTTATTTGTTTTGGTGTATGAATTAATTTCCAAGCCATGTTTTGGGCATTTGCACTATTCTTTGTACTTGAGGCAACATCAAGCATGAAGTTAAAAGTTTACTTCAAAAAAATTTATACTAAGGCCTTGATTGACCCGTCCTAGCTAGTATTTTGTTTTCCCGTGAAAGGAATAACTTTAAATCTTTAGGATGAGAATATAGGAATTGTTGTCAAATTTAACAAAATCTTAATTATTGTATTGTATCTCCGATTCATAACTAAAATAAGTTATCGATAATGAAGACAAATATATAGAAAGCATTGTAGTGAGAGTACTTTGTTGGAAATTATGTTGGTCGA